ATTTTTTCGCGTCCTTTGAATGCTGATTGACCCCGATCTCTCTCGTTCGTCCTCGGACCAAAACAAAACAGTCATTTACGGTCATTGAGTATTGAAATGCCATTTGCAATTGCATTTCAAATATTTCTTCAAAACAAATTTTCTACAAAAAAAAATGAAATAAATAAAACAATTTTATTTTTCTCTCGAAGTTTTTCGAGAAGGCCCGAAAATAGCGCCGTGTGTCTGTCTATTGGATTAATTATGGCTTCTGGAATATTTATAATCTTTCTATCCTTTCAAAATAGGTCGGAGCGCGCGTTTAATTTATGGCCGGCAATTTGTCTATCCGCGTAATTGGTAGAACAACTTTTCAAACGTGTGTTTTCTTTTTACAGAAAGTTTTTTTTCTTTATTAATTTTTGCATAATTCAGTTGACCAGAAGACACGAGCGAGCAAATACAGGCGACCCTCCAAGAAAACTTAATGAAATGAGAACAGAAATTGAGGAAAATGAATCGAAACGCGTCGTGAAACTTTCTGACCATGAAATATTTAAAGGAAACATGATTCACAGTTTTCTTTTCTTTTGTAATTTTTTTATGAACATTTGCTTGTGTTTAATGGGAAAGTTCAAGTGTTAAATAATTATGGCGTAATAAGTTATGAAAAAGCTAATCCAGTTTCATTTCGTGATAATTTGTAACTATTCCCAACAAAATGATACAAAATAAAGAAGCATACATAAAATATGTTTACCAATTATTCATTTGATTATATAATCAATATACGAATAATAACATAATAAAAAATTTATTTATTGATAGAAAAAAATATTGTTTTATTTTAAATTTTATATTATTGTTTCTTCTGTAGTAATATTAACTTTGTTTTATTTAGAATAAAAGTGATAAATCATTCAATTTAATATATTTTTCTAGCTATACATTTTTGTGAATATTTAAGTTCGTTTATTTTCTTATAAATAATCATCAGTTTGGCTTTCGTTGCAAAATAGAGGCACAAATAGAGTAAGTAAACAGAATAGTAAATAGCATCTATCAAGACATGGAAAGTAAAAGATACACGACTACGTTTTCAGACATATCTCTAGGTTTTGACAAAGTACAAAATAAAGAAAAACTTGCCATATAATTATGTTAAAATAATAAAATCATACCTCGATAATAGAATGTTTCAGGTAAAAATAGAAGATGAAAACAACGATTTATATCCAAGTAGGTGTAATTGGGAACTTATGGAAGTACTTGTAGCAAATGTAACAACTTGCCAAATGCGTTTTAACAATTCACAATCAGCCAAATAAAGACATTGAAAAATATAAGATCAAACAAACTTTGAGAAAATTTTGGAGGTGAACGTATTATCAAGTATGTGTAATTGGCAACTTGTGCAAGTACTTGTAGCATATGTACCAACTTCAAGTTATTACCAATAAAAGCGTAAACAAATTTAAACGAACTTTTGGAATATCTTGGAGGTAAACGTTATGTCGAGTATGTGTAACTGACAACTTGTACAAGTACTTGTGGCTTATGTACCAACTTCAGGTTAATTCCAATATAATTTAACAATTTCAACTCATAATAATTACACAAATGGAGAAAGTTTGGCATTTCGGACTACTATACAAAATAAAGAAGTACTTGTCTTATAATTATTTTAAAATAATAAAATCATACTTCGATAATAGAATGTTTCAGGTAAAAATAGAAGATGAATACAACGATTTATATCCAAGTAGGTGTAATTGGGAACTTATGGAAGTACTTGTAGCAAATGTAACAACTTGCCAAATGCGTTTTAACAATTCACAATCAGCCAAATAAAGACATTGAAAAATATAAGATCAAACAAACTTTGAGAAAATTTTGGAGGTAAACGTAATATCAACTATGTGTAATTGGCAACTTGTGCAATTACTTGTAGCAAATGTACCAACTTGCCAAATGCGTTCTAACAATTCACAATCAGCCAAATAAAGACATTGAAAAATATAAGATCAAACAAACTTTGAGAAAATCTTGGAGGTAAACGTAATATCAAGTATGTGTAATTGGCAACTTGTGCAAGTACTTGTAGCATATGTACCAACTTCAAGTTAATACCAATAAAAGCGTAAACAAATTTAAACGAACTTTTGGAATATCTTGGAGATAAACGTTATGTCGAGTATGTGTAATTGACAACTTGTACAAGTACTTGTGGCTTATGTACCAACTTCAGGTTAATTCCAATGTAATTTAACAATTTCAACTCATAATAATTACACAAATGGAGAAAGTTTGGCATTTCGGACTACTATACAAAATAAAGAAGTACTTGCCATATGATTATTTTAAAATAATAAAATCATACCTCGATAATAGAATGTTTCAGGTAAAAATAGAAGATGAATACAACGATTTATATCAAGTACGTGTAATTGGGAACTTATGGAAGTACTTGTAGCAAATGTAACAACTTGCCAAATGCGTTTTAACAATTCACAATCAGCCAAATAAAGACATTGAAAAATATGACATCAAACAAACTTTGAGAAAATTTTGGAGGTAAACGTAATATCAACTATGTGTAATTGGCAACTTGTGCAAGTACTTGTAGCAAATGTACCAACTTTACAAATGCGATTTAGCAATTCACAATCAGCCAAATAAAGACAGTGAACAATGTAACATCAAACAAACTTTGAGAAAATCTTGGAGGTAAACGTAATATCAAGTATGTGTAATTGGCAACTTTTGCAAGTACTTGTAGCAAATGTACCAACTTGCCAAATGCGTTCTAGCAATTCACAATCAGCCAAATAAAGACATTGAAAAATATAAGATCAAACAAACTTTGAGAAAATTTTGGAGGTAAACGTAATATCAAGTATGTGTAATTGGCAACTTGTGCAATTACTTGTAGCAAATGTACCAACATTACAAATGCGATTTAGCAATTCTCAATCAGCCAAATAAAGACAGTGAATAATGTAACATCAAACAAACTTTGAGAAAATTTCGGAGGTAAACGCAATATCAACTATGTGTAATTGGGAACTTATGGAAGTACTTGTAGAAAATGTAACAACTTGCCAAATGCGTTTTAACAATTCACAATCAGCCAAATAAAGACATTGAAAAATATAAAATCAAACAAACTTTGAGAAAATTTTGGAGGTAAACGTAATATCAACTATGTGTAATTGGCAACTTGTGCAAGTACTTGTAGCATATGTACCAACTTCAAGTTAATACCAATAAAGGAGTAAACAAATTTAAACGAACTGATGGATTATCTTGGAGGTAAACGTTATGTCGAGTATGTGTAATTGACAACTTGTACAAGTACTTGTGGCTTATGTACCAACTTCAGGTTAATTCCAATATAATTTAACAATTTCAACTCATAATAATTACACAAATGGAGAAAGTTTGGCATCTCGGCTACTATACAAAATAAAGAAGTACTTGCCATATAATTATTTTAAAATAATAAAATCATACCTCGATAATAGAATGTTTCAGGTAAAAATAGAAGATGAATACAACGATTTATATCCAAGTACGTGTGATTGGGAACTTATGGAAGTACTTGTAGCAAATGTAACAACTTGCCAAATGCGTTTTAACAATTCACAATCAGCCAAATAAAGACATTGAAAAATATAAGATCAAACAAACTTTGAGAAAATCTTGGAGGTGAACGTAATATCAAGTATGTGTAATTGGCAACTTGTGCAAGTACTTGTAGCATATGTATCAACTTCAAGTTAATACCAACAAAAGCGTAAACAAATTTAAACGAACTTTTGGAATATCTTGGAGGTAAACGTTATGTCGAGCATGTGTAACTGACAACTTGTACAAGTACTTGTGGCTTATGTACCAACTTCAGGTTAATTCCAATATAATTTAACAATTGCAACTCATAAATACACAAATGGAGAAAGTTTGGCATCTCGGCTACTATACAAAATAAAGAAGTACTTGTCTTATAATTATGTTAAAATAATAAAATCATACCTCGATAATAGAATGTTTCAGGTAAAAATAGAAGACGAATACACCGATTTCTATCCAATAGAATCAGGGGTGCCGCAGAGAAGTGTTTTAAGACCACTGCTTTACCTTCTATACACGGTAGATATTCCTAAAACTAACAATACTACGATTGCAACATTCGCTGATGACACAGCAATCTTGGCATCAGATGAGAATCCAGCAGTAGCATCCGAATATCTACAGCAAAATTTAGATAAGCTACAAGAATGGCTTAAAAAAGTGGAGAATAGCAGTTAACGAAATGAAATCCGTGCATATCACATTCACGCTAAAGAAAGACACCTGCCCAACTGCAAGACTCAATGGACAAGATCTGCCCAAAGTAACAAAAGTCAAATATCTAGGCATGCATCTAGACAGAAGACTCATCTGGAAAGATCATATTCAGGCTAAGAGAGAGCAATTAGATATAATGTTTAGAAAACTCTACTGGTTTCAAGGGAAAAGGTCGGAATTATGAGTGGAAAATAAATTACTTATATACAAAGTAATACTGAAACCAAATTATACAAATGTTCCAATCAAAATGCCTAAGAAATATTATATTAAGGCTCTATGGTTCATCAGGAATAAACAAATAAACGAAGATCTTCATATAGATATGGTCAAGGATACAATACCAACATTTAGTAGTAGATACCAAGATAGACTGGAGTCACATACTAATGTACTGGATATTGGCCTACTCGACAACAGTGAAACCACAAACAGGCTGAAGCGTTGCAAACCACTAAATTTAGTATATAGATTTAAGTAATTATTAATGTTCAAATTATCATAATGGTAAATATCCACCGGCAAATTTACTCAATGTTCACCTTGATGAACAGATTGTGAATAAAATTATACATAAAAAAAAATCAGTATCAAGTTTATAAATAAAAATGAGGTAATTTGTAAATATTTATTTTGTAATTATGAATGAAAATGTGGGAGAGATGAATAAATTGTTGTAACTAAAAATGTAACTTTATTTTAAATTAGGCTAGAGTAAGAATAAGAGTGAATTAATCTCCGGTCATCATTTCCATGAATTCTGTAAACAAATAATTACGTAAGTTTTTGTTGTTAAAAGACGTTTCTTGTTGTTTTACCATCGAAATCAACGGTTCCAGATCCATCAGTATCGATTTCTGTGATGATGTTGTCCAAATCGCTTCCAGTGAGTTTATCATCAAGAGCACCTAAGATTTCTTTTAAGGTGCCAGTGGTGATGTAACCGTTGCCTTCCCTGTCGTACAATCTGAGAAGACGAACGTTGTGAAGAAGCTTAATTGTTGTGATGTAAGTTTTGATCTACCTGAACGCCTCCTTGAGTTCCTGCGTGGTGGATTCGTCGTCCTCCTCCTCGAGGAAGTGCGAGGCGATGCTGCAGAAGCTGTCAAAGTTCACCTTTCCGGTATTCTCCGGATCGTGATGGTTGATCAACGCGTTCAACTCGTTGTCGTCGAAGATGTGTCCCATAGTGTTCAGCATCGTCGAGATCTTCAAGGTTTCGATGAATCCGCACTTGGAGGTGTCGAACATCTGGAAGAGTTTCCGGAGGATCGCCGTCTTCTGCTGGTCATCATCCTTTGTTGTTTGTTTGTTTCAGAGAGTTATAGAGAGTGAGAGAGAATCAGTAAGGAGAGATCGTCCGGTTTGGTCCGTTCCTTACCATTTCTGCGCTATTCTATATGTTATTTTGGAAAATAGGCTCAGATTCGCGGATCCGTTTGGAGCGGCGTCGGCGTCGGGCTTTTGTGGTGCCCGATGGTGCCAATTATATATGGCGTCCTCCCCACCGACGCCGTTTCTCACCCGAAAAATTATAGTCTCGGGAAATATTTCAGAACGGACTACAAAACCTTCGGCTCGCTGCATCATTACGTCTCTAATTAGTTTTCTGCGATGTCCACTTGCATCACAAAACAACAACAAAAAAAAAATGGCACAGTTTTGCATTTTCACCAATTACCATATCATTATTCATAATTAATCAACACATCTTTTTCCTGCAAACGTCAAAATACAAAATTGCATAATGACTCTTACAAAATCATAATTGAAACTCATCTACTCATGACGACCAGTTTCTTAATTTTGCTTAATTAAAAAGTAACAAACTTAAAATGTAATTAAAACATTTGATTAACCTACATTGTCATGCAACAAACGTCAAATGTCAATTATATAATGATTATTGTCAAAAAAATTGTTTTTCTGAAAACGTCAGAAAACTGTCAATTTATTACATATTAGTTTAATTCAATATACAAATTAACCTAAAACGTAAATATTTTTATAATACTGAGAAACTTGAATAAAATGTTTATTTTTTCTTCTAGAAGATTCTTGAGGTTTTTTTTTGTTGTAAATCTTACTGTAAATGTTTAATGTTTTCAATTATTAACATCAAAGCAATGAGAACAGATGGAAATTTTTCAAATTGCTCAGCACTGCTATCATCTGGTAATAATTCCGTTTTGGCATCGCTAAACCTAGAAACAAACTTAAACTATGTACAAAACTGGCGTAGGAAATTGAGTGTTAACGCCAAATCGCATCGAGTCACCTTTACGATGATTTCTCGCAGTAACTTAAAATTATGTCGCAGATGAATTATTACTATATAATTATGATGTATCTTTGAATAAAATCCGAAATTTCCGAAGGAATATTTCAATTATTAAATATAATAGAAATTATATAAATGAAGATGAAAGAAAGACAAATAAAAATAGAATTATTTCAGTTTTTTTATTGTTGGAAAGCATTCAAAATGAGCACTACATATATTGTCTATATGTTATTTAGTAAATATATCAAATTGATTGTTGAAATATTGAATTGGAAAAAAAAAGTATTCAAATTTTTTCAACACAGATCTTTTACAAATTGACTTTGGAAGTATAATTTTGTTTTGATGAAATCGTTATAGCTTTGAAGATTTTTGTTTCTTTTAATAATGAGAAGAACAAACGAGTAACGAAGCGTTAGTGAAAATTGATTGAGAATCCTTTGAAGCTTGGAAAATATTCATTGAACGAAATATTTACACGTAAATTGCTACAGAAATAATTTTGAATAATTCAATATAATGTGTATAATCTATATATTATCCGCAAGGTGCGATAATCCAGCAATCTTTTCTTTCCACAAAAATACATCGATTGTTATTTTTGGGCGAAGATGCAATAAATAAACAACGAACAAAAAAAAAATTAGTTACGTCGTAGACACAAAAAAAAAAGTATGTTTCGCACAGATTATTAGCGCTGACAGAAATAGATGATTATGTGACAAAGTTTGTTCGTTTCGCGATATTTGCAATGGAAAATAAAAGCGTTAAAAATAGTCTTTTCTCTATTTTTTTTTTCTGTGTGCTTTCTGGATGGAAAAACATCGCGTAAATGACTAATAACTTGCAACCAATATTTTCTGAGATGAAGCCATTCGCACGTGAGAGAAGAGAAGAAAAAAGATACGAGGGAAGAGACGGATTTAGAATGGCGCGCATACCTTTCGGGAATTTCTGCGGGACGCGATTTATAAATCGATGATATTTATAAAATCCCGCAAAAGCCGGAAACCTCGTGAAATTTGTCTATGAATCACGCATTCTCTCGCTCTTTTTCACTGTCCACGACTATTGTGGCAATCCAAATTTGTCGCATTCATTCAAAACGGTCCAAAAATTCTTTTAAACGGATCGCAACAGGTGCTTAAGAATCGCTCGAAAAGACCTAATGAAGATTCCTTTCTCTCATCACAATTTGTTTATTTCTGTTGACTTGTTTTCGAATTCGTTTTATTTTCGCTCGATCTTTCTTCATATTTCTTCCTGATTTATTGGGTCCGTGGATATGGCCAAATTGCTAATTTATTATTTATGTTCCCTGAAATCATGCCACTTCAACACTTAATGGCCCGTACACCTAAAATACGACACGTATTTATATACGCATTCGAAATAAATTTACCTGCGCGCCCGATGGAAAAATAAAAATTTCGAAACTTTACACCTTCTCGTCTTTTTTCACCTTCGCAATCGGTTACGAATTATTATTATTATTATTATTAGACCAATTATCTTCTTTTTTTCTTTTCTTTTGCACATACAGCAATAAACTATAGACTAAACGCGCTCTCTCACGAGTTTTCAATCTATTTCTGGTGTTTATAACATTACCAATTTGTTTACAAATATACTGGATTACTGTAAATACCATCAAACGTTCATTACATAACGTCATCGTCTGCCAATCCATAGATTTAGCTTTCGTATCAACAATGAAAATTAATTATTCTGTGATGATGTTGTCCAAATCGCTTCCAGTGAGTTTATCATCAAGAGCACCCAAGATTTCTTTTAAGGTGCCAGTGGTGATGTAACCGTTACCTTCCCTGTCGTACAATCTGAGAAGACGAACGTTGTGAAGAAGCTTAATTGTTGTGATGTAAGTTTTGATCTACCTGAACGCTTCCTTGAGTTTCCACGTGGTGGATTCGTCGTCCTCCTCCTCGAGGAAGTGCGAGGCGATGCTGCAGAAGCTGTTAAAGTTCACCTTTCGGATATTCTCCGGATCTTGATGGTTGATCAACGCGTTCAACTCGTTGTCGTCGAAGATGTGTCCCATCGTGTTCAGCATCGTCGAGATCTTCAAGGTTTCGATGAATCCGCACTTGGAAGTGTCGAACATCTGGAAAAGTTTCCGGAGGATCGCGATCTTCTGCTGGTCATCATCCTTTGTTGTTTGTTTGTTTCACAGAGTTGGAGGATTACTGTAAATACCATCAAACATTCATTACATAACGTCATCGTCTGCCAATCCATAGATTTACCAATTTTAGCTTTTGTATCAACAATGAAAATTAATAATAAATTAATAATTATAATTATTTTATGAGACTCTTTGCTAACTTAATAATAATCTAGTAGCATTGACTTAATATTAATATTATTAAATACACACACACAGTGCATATACGTTAAAATTAAAGCAATTAACGCAAAAACAATTCAAAACTAATTCAAAATTTAAAGTTAAGAAAAGAGAGTGAAAGATGGCGCTTTCGCAAAATAATAAATTGTCCATAACTACCACAGCATATAATAAAACATCGCAATCTCTTAAGGGTTATATAAAGAAATGATAAATGAACATTTCACGAATAGGACTTCTTAATTAAAGCTTTAATTAAAAAGTAGGAAAAGGAACAGCGCAACTATTGCTGAACTACAAGCTTGGCAATGTGACTAATAGATGACCTGAAATATTATATATTAGTTGAGTTGCAAACCCATATAGTAAGCAAAGTCTCAAACTGTATTGTGCAACCCTATATACTTCTATGTTAGTAAAGTAGCCAAACTGTTCCATTTCCTTCTTTTTTAATTAGAGCCTTAATTAAGAATTCCTATTCTTGAAATGTTCATTTATCAATTCTTTATAAAATCTTTAAGAGATTGCAATATTTAATTGTATTGTGTAGTTGTTATGGACAATTTATCTGTCGCTCTCTTTTCTTACCATATTGAAAATTTAAATTTTGAATTAGTTTTTGTGTCAATTGCTTTAATTTTAACGTTTCTGTATTTAATAATATTAAGTCAAGATCAATAAAACCTATGCTTCTAGATTATTATTATGTTAGCAAAAAGAGTGTCATAAAAATTGATCTAGTAGGAAATTATATCATTTAAATTGTTAACAAATTCAAGTAAATATAAGCGATAAAGAAAGGATTTAAGAAATAATTGAAAAGTTATTTGTGGGCAACATATGGAGTATAACGTTTATTATTATAAAATGTAATTCCATTTTATATTACATACTTGATATCTCGATAAGTCCTAAGAATAATGTTCAAAAATAGAATAAACTTAACAGCAGCTCATTACATACATTAGATGAAATAAGAAAATAAATGTTGTAAATATATTATTTCCTTAAGTTTTGTAAAGTTTTTTTTCTCATCTTCTTTCTCCACTTTCCGGTTTAAAAGAGAATTCCCTAAATAAATTCACTTTGTTTAGCCGCAAGCATTGTACACATTGTTTCCTATAATTAGCACGTACGTGATTACAATGAACTTTCAACTGCATTTCAACTGACATGCGTCTACAATTAGAATAAATATAAGTTTTGTGGAGAAGACTCCGGTCGAATACATTTTGATTTTCAATAAATATACATAAATAAACAGCTTAAAAAATAGTGGATATTTCTTAAGCATCGGTTATTGGCATTATCATCACCATAACAAATACGACATAAAGAATCACATTAAAGTTAACTTTACCATCATAAATATGTTAGTATTAATGCTAAGAAAGAAAAAAATGTAAGTCAATGGAAGAATTCTCGTCCATAGATTAAAATCCTACATACTAAATTCGAGCAATTCCATCGTCGAGTTGTATTGTGATTTAATTAAATCGAGAATGGAAATGCTGATTATTATAATTATTTTGATTATGTTTACAATTTGGAGATTTAAATGGCACGGGGGAAAAAACAAATTGGTAAAACGTTCCGATCACTGAGCACTTCAATTAGAATAAATCAGCCTTAACAAACACACGCTCAGATCAAACGGAAAATAAAAACGGATAATCCTAATACGAAGAGATTAAACACTTTTCATACGATTTGATTTGTGACAATTGCATCGTCGATTGGCGAAGACGAACTGAATAAAAGTAAATTCGTTTTTTTCGAGATGAAACTAAGTGAGCGGCCAATCGCTGACGATGAATTGTCGTATAATTCATGGGACGGATATCACGCCCAGCCCTACGCCGCCCTCATGGACGGTCATGTTCCTGCTGAAAGTCCAAGAGTCGGTGCGCGGATTGTAAACCTCCACGGAGACGAGATTCGAAATACCATCGTATCCGCCGACGGCCCACAGTTTACCCATGTTTGCCGTCAACGCGACTCTGCTTCGTTTCGCGTGCATCGGAGCAACAAAAGCCCACCTAAACGATAACAAAATCGATTATTGGTGTTTCGTAATGATTTGGTTTCAAACTTACTTATTGGTAATTGGATCAAACATCTCCACTGTCTGCAAAAACGTGCTACCATCGTAACCTCCGCAAGCGTACAACTTGCCATCCAACGTAGCCACTCCTAGTCGACATCTTTTGGTCAGCATTGGTTTCGATTCGGTCCAGGTGTTGGAGTTTGGATCATACCTCTCCACGGAATCGAATATTGAAAGTCCGTCGTGTCCTCCCAAAGCGTAAATGTATCCTGTAAAGAAATACAATTTAATATTTCCACTATATAAATGAATCTTATACCTTGGCAAGCGACTAAAGATCCAGCACTTCTGGATTTGTTCATGGGAGCAAGGGAGGTCCAACTGTTGGACTTTGGCTCATACCTTTCCACGGAATTCAAAGAAGTTACGCCGTCGTATCCGCCGCATACGTAAATCAGATCACCCAAAGAGGTTGCACCGAGCGCACTAAAACATTGTGGTAAGTGCATGTGAAGCTAAGCGTTTCTTCATCCAACCTTCTCTTCGATTGCATCGAATCAATCATAGTCCATTCCTTCTTGATGGCATCGTAGACTTCGACGCTTGCCAATCGGTCCCTTCCGTTGTATCCACCAAAGGCGTAAAGTTTCCCGCAATGCACGGCCACACCTAAACGCGACCTCAGAATGGACATGCAGGGCGCCAGTATCCAAGAATCCGACTTTGGATCGTAATATTCAACAGTGCTCAATGAATCCCCTATCATCAAATACATCAATTAATGCATTAAACGCTAGTCAAAATTTTGATGTAATTACCGTGCTGATTTAAGCCGCCAACTACGTACATTTGTCCGCGCACTTCGCAAGTCCTCTGCTTCGTACGAAAGCTTTGCAGCAAATGTCTCCTCTCTGGTATTAAATGGTAAACCCTAGCCTCATCCAGCAAATCTCTAAAATACAAATTCAATTACAATTTTGTGATTAATTAATTAATTAAATTTAAATCACCGGCATTGGTGTGACGTCCTGATCAGCTCCTCAGTGGCTACTCTATCAGTCAGATACAAGGGTGAAAGCAGCGGAAGCCTCACCTGAGACAAGAGCTCAGGCAAACAGGGAAATCTCTTCTCATCCAGCTTAACCCATCTCATGCAAGCATCGAAAACCTGCTCTTCAGATTCCACCTTCAAGTCATTCCTCTGCAGCAAACTCTTGACCTCAAACAGCGCCAGATTCAAATATTCCTCAGACAGAGAAACCTCTGGGAAGCATTGCTCAATGTATTTATCGGTGGACTCAACCAACATTGTGCATCCAAGAGTATCAGCAAATTGTCTTATACCAAGCGCATTCTGTGGATGTAGTCTCTGCAATAGGTAACTAGCGCACGCATCTCGCACTTTGTTCAGCTGCAGAAAAGACGCTCCAATCATTATGTTCTGCACATTGTTCTTATCTAGAATCACTCGTCCCGAATACGCAAAGTTAATCAAAGCTTCCAGCGCACTAAATTAAATAAAATCATTAACAATTGACAATCATATATTTATAAATGTGCGTACCATGATTCGATTCCTTGCATTTGAATCTCTTGCTGTCGACTCTCAACCATATCTGTTGTAAACATTGCATTAAAATAGGGAATGGTGGAAGCTAACACAATTTTATGGGCACTAAATGATTGATCATCGATCTACAACATTGATTTAGTTAATACAAATGATTGGCTGCTCATTATAAGACACAACAAACCTTTAGCACTACATCACACAGTTTACCCTGTCTGCGAATCTCCTCCATCGTTGGGAATGCTGAGGGAAACAGATCATTCTGCTGGAAAATCATGCTCTCATTCATCTCCTGCATATTCCACGGTTTTCCTTCCTCAACTGCATTCATCTTGAGTGAGATCAGCTGGGAACAATGCATGCATAAAGTACAGTCATAAGGTTCCATCATACCACCACCACTCTATTGTAGTCTATTGATTTATTTTTAATCTCCTTGATTAGTGTGAACCATTACACTACCACCACAGCATCGAAACGAAAATCACTAAAAACCAAATTGAAACCGTTCAAATTCAATCAAATTTCCTTTTACCATCTATTTAAATTAATAAATAATAGTTGTATTATAATAATCATAAACAAAATATATATTACAATTAGTTTATTACAATTTAAATATTTAAATTCGTAAACTGTAAAAATGAAATGTATCCAGAATCAGCTGTGCTTTTATCTCTTTGTTAATGTTAATTTTAAATGTTCGTTCTCAGAAAGATGGTTCACGTTAAATGCAGAAATGTTAAATATCCTTTGAGCGACGTGCAAAGATTAATTGTGCCTGAAGAACAAACTCAGTGGTCTTCAAATTTCGATGATTATAAACCACCAATTTATAATTCTTCTGTGTTGAAGAACAAGCCTTGGTCTGATCTGGATATTGGTATAATTGGTATATTATTAACTTAATTATTGTTGTAATAACTGTATTTCTGTTATAGATGACCCAAACTTTAAACCCAAATGGAATGAACTTGATGGAAATGTAAATAGGAAAAGTCATTTGGGGATTTATGAAATTAAGGATAAATATCCTTTGAATCCTGAGGGAAGAACTGGATTGCAAGGAAGAGGAATTTTAGGCAAATGGGGCCCCAATCATGCTGCTGATCCAATTGTTACTAGATGGAAACTTGAAGATGGCAAACAAGTTTTACATGAATCAAGCAAACTGTAAATAAACAACAATTGTTTAATGATTTTGTAAATTAAATTCAAATTGTTTTAGGCCTATTTTACAATTCTGCGCTATTCAACGTCACGACTGCAATGAATGGGCAATTCCAGGGGGAATGATTGATCCAGGTGAAAATGTTAGTCAAACTTTGATGAGGGAATTCATGGAGGAAGCTATGAATTCATTGCAAAACAAAATAGGTTTGTTCTCTAATTTTTGCAAGATATAAACGTTTTAAATTTTTATTTTAGATTCTGCAATGTTAAAAATCTTCTTTGAAAATGGAGTGAAAATATATGAAGGCTATGTGGATGATCCTAGAAACACAGATAATGCATGGATGGAAACGGTTGCCTACAATTTCCACGATGACGATGGAAATTCTGTAGGAAAATTTTCTTTAAAAGCAGGCGACGATGCTAAGAATGTGCGTTGGATGGACGTAGACAAAGAAACCCCATTGTATGCAAGCCATTCAAATTTCGTCTTCAGTGTTACCAAACTTAGAAACGCGCATTGGTGATTCTTCCTATTAACATGGTGGAACTTCTTTGTTTACAAAAAGTGAAAATCTCTTGTATTTCCAATTAATTAAATTACAGCAAAAATGCCTAATTATATAGTAATAAGAGAATACCAGCAGTCTGATAAACTTGGTGTCGGTGAGGCAGTTCAGAGCGCCTATACATCAAATGTTAATAAATCATTCATCAATGCCTTATCCAGAGAAGTAAATTGTAAAAGTTTAAAGTTAACACTGTAAAATAAACGTTTAATTAACTTGTAGATTACCTTCCAATTGATTGTGATGTGTGCAGCAATGTTCTTCATATTTATTGGCATTCCAATAACTTATTGTTTATCTGCTATTCCCATTGTTTTGATCACTGTTTACATGTGCATTTACCTATCACATTTCATGAAATCCAGTGAGCTTATGCACAAGAGACCAGTGAAATGCTGGGTTGCAGAGGCTTGCTACAACTGCATTACGGATGCAGACCCAAAGCAGATTTATTTTTCAGTTGTCAGTGAAAATGAGTCAAAGAGACTGGAATTGGGGAAAGCCTTCAGAAAAGTATGATTTTGTGTAGCTGTTTAATTCCATATCTTATTTATATAATGTTTCAGATAATTGGCACAGTTTCTGTTACTAACTTTATCTATTTGGATGATACTGCTTGGTTATACAGGTTTGCTGTTGAAAAGGGGTTTGTAGATGTGCAATAACTAAACTGTTTTATATACTAATTGGTGTGCTCTTACAGGTACAGACATAAAGGTGTCGGTCATGCTCTGGTTGAGACTGCAAAGACATGGAGCAGAGCTAATCATTACTCTAGAATATTTCTTGTGGTTTCTGAATGCCAGGACACAGCAAGGCAAATCTTTCTTAATGCTGGGTAAAATCCTTTATAGATAATTTATAGACAAAGCTAATACTAATTCATCTTTGATTGCAGCTTCCAAATGAAGCAAATGTACCATAAGCATATTGTAGGTAGCATCATTAGTTTGCTCATGTACCAATTGGAGTGTGATCTTGTTAAGCCAAACTGTTAGGAGTCCATTAGGGCCTTAATAATGTGCCTTTTTTTATATACAATGTTGAAAACAATAAAATGACAATAAATCTTAATATTTTTATACATACAAATATTTAATAAACATTCCCATTTTTGTTTTACATAATTGTTGTATTATTATACTTATAAAGTGAATAATGATGTTAAACTACAATTGTCTATTGCTTTTATATTTGAAATGATAATATTTATAAATAGAATTTCAAATATGCCTGCAATGCAGAAAATCTTCAGTGTTGCCACAGTTAAAGCAAGAATGCGACGAAACATGAAGTAAAGTTTATTTACATAATGCATCAAAATAATCAAAGTTAACCTAAGCAAAACAACAGGATCAGATAAACAAAGCAATATGGGCAGGAACATATTGAAAAGCAGTTTGGACAACGCGAAATTCAGCATAGTTTTTCAAGTGCGTTGTGTGGTCTATTAACCAAATGAATCATAGTAAATAATAACAAATTTTAGATTATCTTCAGATGCATAACTTTTATCCTAAATGCCTTCATCATCCGAGTGGTGGGACAGGAGGTGCTTGGTATCATGAACGTCCGCTTACTGTTACTTGAATCGACTCTGGTGTTTCTATCTAGAGAACCTTTGCTCAAAGCTTGCTTGACTGATACCAAATCCCATAACTGGACCCAAGTCATAAACCAGTTCTGGTTATCGTAAGCAATGCAATCATGTTTAAATCCTTTTCGTTCATCAATTTAATTGCAGTGTACCAATATCAGCTGTTCTCGGTATTGTTTTGAATTACATTTGGACGGATGTCCTAAGCACAACAGATGAGCACTACTTGATCCAGTACAGATGGGGCTGCTATGCTATTGTAGTTTCTTGCATAATTGGGCAAATTACGCACATCCCAATTCTAGTTTCACAGAGCTTTTGCTTTGTCAAATTGAAAGTGAGTGTTATTTCTAATTAGAATTATCTAAAATTTATGCTTTTGAATTTAATTTCCAGGTTGTTTTTGAAACGATTTACATAACTGTTAGAACTGTAACGTTTGTGGTGTTGGTCTTGAGAGATCAAAACGAAGCGATCAACGCGTTTTCCATTGCTCAACTATTATCTTCTTTGATATTGTTTGCGCTTTACTACGGATTTTTCTATTGGTACATCGAGAAAAAGAAGACATCCCCGAAATCCGATTTGTTCAAAGACATGAACGACTTTAAATTCGAGTCAATTCGGGATTTCTTTCCGAAAATTCCCAAAGCTCAAGTTCGAAACTTTTCGAATCAATCAATAGGTTTAATATATTGCATTATTTGTTTTAGGAGGCTTACGTTAATAAGGAATTGTGTGTGTTAACGGTGAGTTTCGCGAAGCAATCGATAGTTAAGCAAGTGTTGACTGAAGGGGAGCGTTATGTAATGAGCGTCTCTCCGGTATTAACGTTCAGCGAACAATCCATGTACGATATTGTTAATAATTTAGGAAGTTTAGCTGCGAGGTTTGTTTTCTTTTTTTTTGTAAATTAGTTTTTGGGATCTTGTTTGGAAGGATTTAGTTTTCAGATTCATTTTTCGGCCTATCGAGGAAAGCGCTTACTTCTACTTCACGCAGATGTTGAGGCGGGATCAGTCGCTGTCGCAGCAGGATAAAGTAAGGATTTGGCAATGTTGAATGCAATTCGTGAACGGTTTGGTTGTTTTTGAGAAATGCGTAGTCGAGGCGGCTACAGTTCTGAGTCAACTATTGAAGGTGGTCACTTCCATCGGACTAGTCGTCATCGTGTTTGGGTACACCTACAGCCACAGTCTTCTATACTTGTACGGAGGAAGAATTTTGACCGAAGATATGCTCCCAACAGTCCTGCTCAGATCTCACTGCTTTGCTGTACTCTTGTTAGCCGTGAACGGAGTTACGGAATGTTACGTGTTCGCAACCATGGATAATAAACAATTGGATAGGTAAAGGTAATATTTTTATATCAATTAAAATAGTAATTTGAGTAAATTACAGGTACAATTACATAATGGTTCTTTTCTCCGTTACTTTCCTGTTGATATCTTACGGGTTGACCAACATGTTTGGCCCGGTGGGATTTATACTTGCTAATTGCTTCAACATGACTGCGAGGATTATACATAGGTAGAATACACGATTTAGTAATTAATCGAATAGTCGGAAATCGAACTTCAAATGTTTAATATAATTGGTTGCTAAGTAACAACTTCTATAACTTCAAATTGGTTGCTTGGTAACAAAGATCTTCAAAATTTCGATAAGGATAAATAAGGAATTATTACAATCAAATTTTAATTTTATTCCAGCGTTCATTTTATTAGTAATCAATACAAGACAACGAAATTGTTGCCTTTACAGGGAATAGTTCCCGGTAAAGTGTTCATCGCGGCTCTAGTTGTATCGGGACTTGTCACTTCTTTGTCTGAGGTAAGTCGATCGATAATGGTCGCTTCCGGTGTGTGTGTGTTTTTCATTTGTTTCGTTGCAGGGCTACGTGTACCAGAGGTCGTTGCTCTTGCATGTGGGAATAGGCGGCGTCTGCTTCGTTATTACGTCGTTGTCCTGGGCGTACGAAAACAAGGTTCTGCTAAAATTGGGCGTAGAAAAGTACAAGCGAAGGCAATCTGTGAAACTAGACTGATTGCCAATTTAATTAATTAATTAATACAATTAGTGCAAATTCCTCCATCCATCCTGTTACTTCCAAATGTTATTATTGTGATATAAAGAATAAAGACAGACACGTTAATCCAATTATTCTATTTATTAACTAAAACTGTTTAAAATGTTCGACGTTGCTGAACTTCTCATAACATCAATACGAATTGGATTCTATTATGCATTTTGTTGAATCCCGTGCAGTACTATTAATTAACGTTTCGCAATTTCAATGGAAATTAGGAATTAACGTTTGCTTTGTGCATAGCATTATTATATTCGTGTAGTGGATTGGTCAGAACCCTGGTCAGTTCGCAATTTGCAATTCAATTGAATCACAGATTTTGATTAATCCGTGCAATGTAGAGGTGGTTGAAATCGGATGAAATATGCACCTAGGCAAACTTTAAACACCAGAAATCAGTTTAAAATGAACACAGATCATGTAGGAAACAAAGAAATAGACGTTTCGTAAAGTTCAATTTATATTTATTCAATTATAAGTAGAACGTAACAAATCATGTAGTAAACAAACACGAAAACTAATGAAGGATAACGTAACGTTAATACACAGCAATCGTTTTATTTTTTGGGGTTGTTAAAAGCAACTTTAACGGATAATAAACATTTTATGAGTTACGGCAAACATTGGATGTTTGAGTTTTAAACACAAACCGTAAATCTAACAGAAATTCATTTTCATTTTATTAATTAAAGCTTCGATTTATATCTTTCATTTTCATTCTTACAGTTAATTACAATTAGTGCGTACTTTATAAACACAATCACTAGATTTACTTAAAGTAGACATGAAAATGAGAGTAATTAAATTGTGTACGTACTACTTTACAATCTAATACATCGACTAGTTGTAGTTGTTGGTTTTCTTTTTTAGCTAATTTCACGATAAAATTGACGGGAAATGTCCCCTTTTTTTTGGCTTGTGCTCTCATAGAAACTACGTTAGAAAACATTCATTTAGTTGGTCCACAATGAGAAGGACATTTATTCATTATTTTTCAACTTTTCTACTTACGGTCTAAACTTTAGACTCTAAAGGAACACAAGTTTTGGGAGTTAAGAAATATCTAACGTGGCCGCGACGGACCGAAAGTAACTTAACTGCTTTGTATAATATATATATATATAGTTTCTATCTTCATCGATGAATTCATAATATTAACACGTCTTTCAGTAATGAGCGATGAAAAAATGACTTATCCAAAGTGTTAATTAGCACAAGTATTATTACCATTAAAAAAAACTATAAAAAGTAGTATTATTAAATTAGTCGCAATATAGGTTTGATTCTTATAAACTTCGTCAGTCGTAATTTGTAGTATTTAAAATAATAAAAAATAAAATAATTTGAACAGTCGCAGTTTCACTTTTGGCAACGAGAAGATTTCACTGCAGTTGAAACTAAACTTTTACACGTTTAGTAACCGCTTTTAATTAGTCTTTCTCTGAGTCGTGGACATTCCTGAAACACCATATTATGTAGTCCGAGCAAACAAAACTGAAAAGGTGAAACTTATTGTACACTTTCAGACCTTTCAGAATTGCGTTCAGTTTCGAGCTCATTTTCGTGAGGTAAATTGAAACACGTTGTTTTTACAGTTAGTACTTCATGAATTAACAACGTAACACGATGTTGTGAGTGTGCAATTTAGATTGTAACATGAAGTGTATTACATTTTTCAGGCTCATATAATTTGCAAGATCAATACTAACGAAACGCGCCCTTTTCTCGTTTGTATGTGCATTTTCTGGTAGACAAATAAAAGAAAAATCAGCAACTACGCGCTTATTATGTAAACGTTATCTCAGGACGATTGTAATTGTTGTTGTTTTTTTTTAAATTCTGGCTATTTGTTATGTTTGTTGTAGATATCGATTCGTTTGTATCGGTAAATATTTAATATACGTTCAGGGAAATTAATTAATTTGTAATTTCATCGTTATTAAAATTAATTGGTTTTCATCGAATATGATAATTTCCAAAAAAAAACTTATATGAATTTGATGAATTACAGGAAAATGTAGAGTTTTTAAAATTTATACTATTTCTTTTGCAATACTAAAGTTATAAAAATATCTTAAGACTTTTGAATTCTTAAAATTTTGCTTATTAAGCAGTTAAAATATCTTTGAATGGTTTTAATAGTTTTTTTTTTGATAAATGTGGTTGTATAATCATCTTTGTTTTATGATTATGAGTTGAAATGAGCAGACTTTTATGGAGGTAAGTTTTCTAAATGAGTATTTATAAGAAGTTGTTTGTTAAAATGTTGTAAAGTTTAGGCACCAACATTTTAAATGAGTGCACGTTGGAAAAGAAGGTAGGAAAAAAAAAGGGGGCGATGCATGTGAGAGGGTGAAGTAGACGCTTAATATAGTTTGACACATATTGACGAGAGTATTTTTGGGATAGATTAGAGTCGCGCAACTCGTCAAAGGGGCGCGACTCATGCCGTGATGTAGTACTCCCTGCGCTGGATGCACTTCTCGCGCATTATGTAACAAAGGGCTATCGTTATCAGGACGGCTATGGTCACCCCCATCCCGATGCTAACCCATATGATCTCCTCGTTGATGCCCTGATAAGAACGACCTGAAACAAAGAGCAACAGAAAACGTGAATACACTAAACCAGCGTTTTCCAAACTGTCTAAGGGGAGGCGAGAATATTAGTAGCAGTGAGCAATTTTCCTAATATCTGCTAAAGTCTAGATACATTCCTGTGCTCTCATCCATATTGCTGTAATACGCGTTCAAAGTTGAAAAATTGAAATTAGAACGTTCAAAAAAGCAGTGATTTCCGTTCAAAGTTGAAAAATTAACGTGTCAAAAAGCAGTGTTTTCTTCATTTGGGTGTAATTTGCGTTAAATTATGAAAAAATGAAAAATTTACGCTCGAGAAATTAGAATTGGAAAAAGCAGTGTTTTCACATTTCATTGATTTACTCGAAAACTATAATAGATAGAATTAATCCAAAATATGCATATGAAAGCTGAATGTTTGGGGAATCTAGCAAGTATCGATATATTACTATAAGTATTCCACGACAAAACAAATATTTATAAATTAATTCAATCTTTGAAATATTAACGAATCATTAACTAATTAATGAATAATTAACGAATTCATTATGAAGTAACAATCAAAACTGAGATAATTGCACACAAAATTTATTGCGTTTTTTTTTTACTTCTTCATTATAAGTTTCGTGCGATTTCTTTATATTATTAGTTTATTCTCTCTCTCTACATTTGAACAGTCGCACGTTTTTTTTTTTAATTCCTGCGATGCAACAGATGCATATTGTTCATTTTCACAAGTTCGTGATTTATAAAGAAAAGAAAAAAACAATGAATAATGTTGATGAAGATTTTCGCATCGGATAATCGCACACGCATTATTATGGGTTTCCCAATTCGTTCGTGGAAATCGCGAATGAACGAGACGAAGAGGGCGAGAGAGGGAGGGGAAAGGGTAGATGAGATACCCGATATTTCGTCGCCCTTACCACGTTACACGTGTAACCGAAGAGTTTTCCTCCTCTTCCTCCTCCTCGTCGCAATTCGCAAACATTCGGATCAAGTTGTTGTGTGTCAGCAAATAGTAGTTTAACTCATTACCGAACGGGAATTGGTTTTAACCACTAATTAAAGATAGCCCGGACGGACCTGATATTAAATTGGAATAAACGCACTTCATATGCAGCAGTCAGTGCACGCGCGCCGCTTAATTGCACCAAATTGCTTGCATCTTTTTGTTTACAAATTCAATTATATAACTGTTTGTTATATTCGCATTCAATCCGCAGCCGGTTTGGATGGATGTTTCATCATCGAATTGTCTTTTGGTAACCCCAACGAATCTATTAATCGTGAGTGAAAGAAATTGAGCGAGAGACGAGGAGTGATTACCCAACACTCGAATGTATTTAGGTGAAAAGATGAAGATATGAAGTACAAATTGTCCTTTCTCTTGTTACAAACCGTTTCCATCGCCAAGTGGAGCGCGGATATGTATGTGTACGAGCATACGCGAAAAAGGAACTAATAAAATTGCGATATGTGCGCAAATATTGTTTCCTTTTTCTCTTTTCGTTCATCCAAGAAGTCTCTTGGAAACGGGCAGCGGCGGTGGTTAACAGAGCGTGAAGAGAGCTCTCTTGTTGGTAAGCGCTCCTGACTATCGCTAGTCAAGTGTGCGTGTGATGTAACGGACACGTTAATATTAAAAGTCTTTCTCTACACGAATTCGACCTTCGCATTTGCATATTTCTTTTGCCGATCGACTGGAAAATTAGTGCAGAATCCAACAGCGGACTTATCCAAAATAGATCATTTACTCTATAACGACTCGTTAATTGCAGATCGGCTTAACGGACCGTTACATTGGGAACGCAATTTCTAAACGAACACCAAAAGCGCTAATGCATTTCTGCAAATCTTGACTTCATTTATTTGCTATGGAACAAGACAAGAAATCGTTTCTATCTAATTGAAATAACAAATTATTTAATTTTAATTAAATCAAGTAAAATTTATTGATTTCGTTTTAGTTTATTCGATAATAAGCGAAAAAGTTATTTTGAAAAAGCAATTTGAATTAAAATAAGAAATATTTCTTTCAATTCTACAACTTTTTTAACTTATTTACAATAGTCTTTAATGGTTGTTAAGGATAATTACTAATAATGCTTTTCGGTTGTTTTAAACAATAACTAAGGACGCGTTTTGGTTGTCATGGATAAAAATAAGGACGCTTCTAAGTTAAGAAATTGTTATAGTCACAACCCTTGTTGCTAAGGGCACTTTTTGGTTGTTATGTATAATTACAAAGGACGCTTTTTAATTGTTATAGTCGCAATCCTTGTTACTAAGGACACGTTTTAGTTGTTATTAAGGATAATATTAGAAGTTTCGTGCAATAAAGACTAACAATTCTTTGCTTGCATTCATCACAATTTGAATGAAAACAAGACAAATTTCTTTCAATTCTACAACTTTTTAAGTTATTTACAATAGATTGAAAGGACGTATTTAATGGTTGTTAAGGATAATTACTAAGGATGCTTTTTGGTTGCTATGGATAAAAATAAAGACGCTTCTAAGCTAAGGAATTGTTACAGTCACAACCCTTGTTGCTAAGGACACTTTTTGGTTGTTATGTATAATTACAAAGGACGCTTCTTAATTGTTATAGTCGCAACCCTTGTTACTAAGGACACATTTTAGTTGTTATTAAAAGATACTATTGCAAGTTTCGTACAATAAAGACTAAAAATTATTTCCTTGCATTCATCACAATTTAAATTAAAACAAGACATATTTCTTTGAATTCTACAACTTTTTAACTTATTTAGAATATATTGAAACGATGTCTTTAATGGTTGTTAAGGATAATTACTAATGATGCTTTTTGGTTGTTATGGATAAAAATAAGGACGCTTCTAAGCTAAAAAAATTGTTATAGTCACAACCCTTGTTGCTAAGGACACTTTTTGGTTGTTATGTATAATTACAAAGGACGCTTCTTAATTGTTATAATCGCAACCCTTGTTACCAAGGACACATTTTAGTTGTTATGGATCATTATTAAGGACACTATTACAAGTTTCGTGCAATTAAGACTAAAAATTCTTTGAAACAAGACATATTTTTTTAAATTCTACAACTTTTCAACTAATTTTCAATATATTGAAAATTGTTGCTTTTTTTTTTATTTAAATTAGAAAACTTAAATCAATTTGTTATTAAAAGCAATTTTAGTTTAAATTTGTTCAAAAATAAATTCACAATACTTAAGACAACTTTATAACATAAGACACAAATCCTGATCCTTGAAAATCTTCTCAACTGTTGAAATTATTCAAATATTTTGTTATTTATTTCGTTTGCGAAAAACATTACTTCTAATAAATTCATACAGTTTTTTGCTGTTAAAATAGAAAACTCAATTCAATTTATTGTTACACCAAATGGAACAGTCAACTCAAGGATGTAGGAAACCAATGTTAATGCATTAAGAAACGCGATATAATGAGGTTTCTCTCCTCGAGCGAAATATATAATACAAAACTGTGTAATAAAGACTTTGACTCGAATGTTGAATTGAATTGAATGCGGACAGTTCACAAACATCGATTCGCATATAAAATGCTAAATTTATCAGCCTAAATTAGAGAGAGAGAAAATCTTTTCTTATTCGATTGTATTCAATAATACAATTAGGTTTTTGGCTGGAAACGAAAGCATTGTTTTTTTAGGTTTCCTGAAGACAAATAAACGCGGAATTGAGAAAGAATTACGCAATCGCGATGTTTAATGACTTGTAAATAAAGTCACCAAAACTTGTATTTGCAATTCTCACCATATGCGGGCTACAAGTAATCAAGTGCAAGTATTTACAAAAAAAAAAAACGAGAGTTACGCAAGTTTATGTGGACTTGAATTAAGAAGGAATGTTGTTTTAATAGAGATTCCCATATAATTAACTAAAAAAGAATTTTTAATTTAATAGCAAACATTTAATTATGAATCATTGGTGAAAATAAAACAAATGTATAAAAAAAACTATTTTCTTTATATAAGAAATTAATAGCTAGTTGTGTGGAAATATTAATAATAAATAATAATATATTGAGAGCAGAAAACCAACGAACCGTACGAACTAATTACTAGGACAAGTAAATCGAAATCAAGTAATGTAAATGAGAAATTGTAATGGAATTCAGAAAATAATTAAAGATATTTGCTTTTTCGTTTCTTACCGAATTTCGCATCGATATCCCAAGCTAATTGTTCTTTAATGAATATTTGTCGAAACAAGAGTGTGTTTTTTTTTTCATTCTGCGTGGGAATATGAATAAATGCTGAGAACTTGCGTGTAATGTCAATGGCAGTTTCAGTTTTGTTTCTTAAATTATGCATAATTTGGTAGGCTATGAAAAAAAACAAAACACATACACACTTTTACTCTTCGAGAGAACAGATACAGTTACGTGTATCGAACATTGGAATTCGCCGAAGCTATTAATACTTTATTTGCTTTATTTGTACAGCGATTTTTTGCGTCAGAATCTGCGGTGAAATTATAAATAGTTACCGAGACAGATATACAGACAAGAACATAATCCGTTGTTGTTGTTGTCGTTACTTTCTTTGTTTCTAATTGTTTCTCTGTTCGCGGTGATTTCTATATTGTTCAGAATCATATAATTAGTTTCAGCATTTTAATCTTGATATCAAATATTAATCTTGATCAGCAAAAATAATTAAACTTTACAAAAGGATAGTAATAATTGTTTGAAGAAAGTCTCGAGGTTGCTTTGCAAAAACAAAAAATGACAGTTGTTGAAACAACGATTTTTGGTTGTTAAGAACAATTACTAAGGACGTCTTTAATGGTTGTTAAAGATAATTACTAAGGATGTTTTTTCTTGTTGTTAAGGATAATTGCTAAGGATGATTTTTGGTTGTTTTGGATAATTACTAAGGATGTTTTTTGTTGTTGTTAAGAATAATTGCTAGGGGTGATTTTTGGTTGTTA